AAAAAAAAGCTTAATCTGCGTTTGAGAACGTGTGTCAATAATTGTGGACAACAAAAGAGCTACAAATTGCAGAGGGATTGTTAACGAATTGCATTTATCATTTATGGGTTACATACATGTAATTAAAAATTCATTTTTTGCAATCTCATTTGGACTTGGGAACGGTTTCATATGAACACGGTAAACGGTTTCATCATGTCATAGCCCAAATTAAGAAGAGGTATGCAATGAGAAGATGCTTGTACTGACAGTAGTCAGTAGTTGGATACTGACTACTGCAACGGGAGACAGCTGATAAACACTATCAAAGAAAATAATATACATATGTTCAGGATCAAATATTTGATATATTACTATTATACACAAGAAAATAAAAAATTAATAAATAGGTGATAAATATTCAGGACACAGTCATTATAAGGTTTTTATTAGTGCCAACGTTTCAACCCAAACATGTGGGTCATCATCAGGGCGTAGTTCGAGCACTGAAGATTTTCAATACTTGGCTTTGAAAGGCTTCAAGGTAAGTACTTGAAAATCTTCAGTGTTCGAACTAAAGCCTGATGATGACCCACATGTTTGGGTTGAAACGTCGGCACTAATAACAACCTTATAATGACTGCGTCCTGAATATTTATTACCCATGATATATAGCGCAGTCGACTAACTTCATTCAATAATAAATAAATGAAGTAATAAAAAACATACTGTTTCAGTTTTTTTTTTTTTAAACAACCTTTATTTACTCAAAAATGATTGCTGATAAAATTTTACGGACTTCAGATTCGAACTCAGCATACATGGAAATATAAAAATCAGAAAAAGTTCATTAATTTTAAATTTAAATATTTTTTTTTTGCAGAACAGTGTTATGAAAACATGATAACAGTAATATAAACCCTTCACCCACTACCTTCTTCAATTTGAATCATTTATACCTAATGCTGAAAAAGAATGAGGCGAGAACGGGAAGAAATAGAGCAGAACACAGTTTAACCGGGATAATGTGGTCAAGATTGCTATATTTCGTATGACGCAAAACTCCAAGTTGAATCGATGAAATTTATTAATGTAATGTACAATAAAATGTATTTTGACAGAGATTACACACTAACCCTTTAATTTTAATAGAAAGATTGCCAATTTTCTCATTGTGTACCATGCAGAACTAAATTGTGTAACACAAAACATACTTTATTTAATTATAATGATATTAAACAAAGCTAAAAAAAAAACACTTAGTTAACACTAAACATACAATAATTAATAAAACTCTCGGTTCAAGTACGCATATGAAACGAAATCGGGGTTCTAATAAAATTTTAACGGCCCAATAATTTTGTATGGCCACCTTTTTTCACGATTTCGTGATCAAATTATCTTACGATTCAATTCGAAAACAAATGGGTGTTAATGAGTTTTCATCACCTAATTAAATAGCCGAAGCCTAATTACATCGTCGATACCCAAATTGAAAACGCCTCGTTTCCGAGAATTTCCGTAAATATTGGGTTGGCAAAAAAAGTCCTTTCGGTTTTTCTGTTTATTTTTATGCCACTACACTTATCTGATGAATTAATCTCTAATTGTTCATCCTGTTTGTAGTATGTCAACAACTATATCTGTTAACTCTTTTTGAAACTAGCTTAGTGTTGTGTTTGCTATTGTACTGTGAATATGGAAGAAATATCATTCTTTATCGGCATATTTTGTTGTATTGTTTTAAAAAAGATAAGCGTGCTGCAGAAGCTCATAGAAAAATGTCAGCGTTTATGGGGATGATGTCATAACCGAACGCACCTTTGAAAATTGGTTTGCCAAATTTCATTCAGGAAATTTTGACATTAATGATGCTCAACGGTCTGGTCGCCCACACCTCACTGATCACTCCCAATAAATTATTGAGCCTTGGATGGGACCTTTCGCCCCACCCTCCCTATTCACCAGACCTAGCTCCAAGTGACTACCACTTATTCCGCTCTCTGCAGAACTTGATGAACGCAAAGAAATTCCAAAAAGGAAGAGTACATCAAAAACCACTTGGATCAGTTTTTTAATAATAAATTCCAGACATTCTATGAACATGGCATTATGAAGTTAGTGGAAAGATGGGGGAAAGTCATATTAAATAATGGTCAATATATTGTAGATTAAAATAAATTTTATTTCTATAATACATTGAGTGCTATTTCAACCTGAAAATCCGAAAGGATTTATTTGCCAACCCAATATAAAATGTGTAGGTTACGATGAGATGAAGCTATTCACGAAGCTTAAGGCGGATGTTAATAATTTGATAAAAAGGTTTCTGTACCAAGGAATATTAGATGGAATCAGATTTTTAAATCTAGGAAAAATCTTCGGACTTTATTAATAACCACAAAATGTTTCTCTTTGATGCAAACTTCGATATTTCAAGAATTGAGGAATAAATAAATTTTTAATCGATTTTTAACTTCATAATTTCGAACCAGAATTAAAAATCGATCGTCGAAACACTTAAATTTTCAAATGATTTTTCAAGATTTACAATTGAGGAGGGGAACTATCCTATCATGGTGACCGCATAATTTGGGAGAAATATTACCTCGTCTAAGGGAGATGTTGATATAAATCGATTATCTAACTATTTTACGTCTCGATCTATTAAAAATCGATTGTCTTAGGCAAAGATAAAGTAAGAAATTAATTTTATCTATGCATCCACAGCGATCGATTTCTCACCACGTAAGTAAAGTTTTTAATTTCCTTTAGCTGATGAATTATAATCTAATCAAAGTTATTCACGAATAAAAGTACTAGGTTTTAAACAGCCTATTTTTTTTTTCCTCAATGGTTATTCGAGAGGCGAAATTATTTTTTTTTCTCTTTCCGTCAGAGATGTGCCATGAGTAAGGCTGTTTTAAATTAAAAATATCTAAAAAATAAAAGTACGACATCAAATTTTGAATTTATAGGGTAGCTAATTTTTTAAATTCGGCCATATTTCGAAATTTCGTAGCTGATGATAGTATTATGCAAAACAAGTATAGCTGTCTGTTACAGTATCGCATCCCAATATAGCAGGCACTGAATTGATATTAATATTTTAAAGAATAACTAGTTACAATAAAAAGAAAAATGTAATGGCAAAATATGGGGTATATGTAATAAAGTAATAGAATCCAAAAAAAACTGGACATTTGTTGAAAGAAACATTGTTTATAATTTTTATTAACCATGGTATCAGATGCCATGTTTCAGGCGATTTTCGATTTCGGGATGAAGTTCAAAGGTGTGCTGATTTAAAAGCCTGCGAAGCAAATAATGCAGAAGCCTATCAGACAGAAAAGTTAGGCAGTCTCAGAGAGAAAACTACTTTGCTGATTGGAGCAAAGGTAAGCGGCAGGGAATAAGTATGTCCTATTTAAAAGAGAACCCTTGGGTAAATAAATTTATTTACGATAGAAAAGTCCTAAAAGGCTCAGAATGGACAAACGTTATGAAATTGAACGTCAACTGCGTTCCTCACCCTCGGAATACGAGGGACCGGAGGCCAAAGGTGACGTTGGATCCCTCTGCCGCAAATGTCGTCGAAAGTCGAGAAACCCTAGCGCATGTATTGGGCAAACATCCGAATAACATGCTCCTTATAACACGTCGGCAAAATAATATAACGAAACAGCTATCCGAAGTCTTAGAAATCAACAACTTTAGATGTTTCCTCGAAGTCTATTCCCTGGATATGGAAGGCTCAGAAAGATTCGTTGACATTTTAATGCAAAAAATTTGGAGCTTATAGTGGATCATTCGATCAGATTTGAAACGAACGATCAAAATCAGGGATTTAAAGTGCATCCAGAAAAAGAAGAAAGGCACATATTACTTAAAAGAATAACAGAGGGTTGAATTCGGAGAGATAAGCTTTTCAATTAAAGGGCTACGGTTCGGGGAGAAGCAGGGGCACCATCCCTCATACTGTAAGAATTCTTGCAGAAGGGTTGGAAGGGAGCAGTTGGAGGGAATGACAGAGGCTATTGTTTTGGACTCATTGAGAATTCTCCATCACCACATATACTAAGCTTTGTCTTCGTTTATTTATTTGTGTACATTGTTGTTTTAAAATCATATTTGGTATGGTCAAATAGTCCCAACTAAAGTTTTTGTTCTGGTTTTAACTTTTTTTGTTCTCTTGGAATGATAGATATGCTGTGTGTTTAGCAACTACAATACAGTTAAGCAGCCATGTAATATTATTGTAGTCTTCTCACTATAAGCTAATTCAAATAATAGAGGCATTTTACAAAACGACTGGACAAACCATCCAGAAAAATAATAGAAACACTATGTAAAAAAGACAGAAAATTAGTTTCATTTGATTTATACTCGATAAAAATTCATTGAACTATAGTCATGTATGATAGTCAAATATTTTTTACTATTATATGAATATCTTCGATTTTATACATTCAAACTTAACCTAGCGAGTAATACAAGCTATATATATGTGTGCGTGAGCCTGGTATATAAATTTTTATATTTTATATAGAGATTAGTGTTGTCCAAAATCGGTCTTGGTCTTGCAAAGTGCAAGACCAAGACCAAGGCCACCTAGCTGTTGCAAGAACAAAATCAGGACTGGAAAAAAAATCGAGTTTTTTAAATAAAAATAAAGGCAAAATAGGTAATAATACTTGACAATCTTAGTAGCTATATGTTAATAATTGGTATAACCAATATACTTCTGCATGTAACTCCTCTAACTTTTCATTCGGGCTTAGTTAGGTTTCACCTATATAAAATATTACAGTAATATTTCTATAGTAATAAGTTAATAAGTAACTGCAAGACTGTTGCGAGACTCTTGCGCAAGGCCAAGACCATGAACAAGACTGAGTTTGCAAGACCAAGACTCTTCTCGGCCCGGCATTTGGGCAACACTAATATACATATTGTAACTCTATAAAAATTCTAATTTCTATGATTTGAAATTAAAAGTAGAAAACAAATAGTATACTCACAGAGACGCTGAACCTCTTATCATCGGGACATGGAAACTATTGTCTGCTAGCCCTAAAAGAAAAAAGAAATTAGAAACATTCATGCTTAAATAATGATGATAATAATAATAATAATAAATATATTTAGCCAAGGGAAGAAGTAATTATCACATAATTGTGTAACGAAAACAGCAAAATTTAATGTGAATAAATGTAGCTATAAATTAAAAAAAAAAAAAAAACCATGAAAGTGTGAATTGTTTGTTAAAGTTAAAAAAAAAAAATATTCCTTTTTACCCCGAAGTTGAAAAAAGAAGATGGGTAATTGACCTTTATCTGGTTGAGAGAACATGTTTATTGGAGCATAATACGATCTTCCCACTTTGGTTTAACGGTTAACAAAAAAAAAAAAATGATGTAAAGCAGTACGAATATCATGAGTATTCTTTTAAAATATTTTATTGGAAACGCTATAAATTTAAATATTAATTGAAGAAATAATTTTTATTTTTTATTACGTTTTTATTTTTAATTTTTATTTTATCCAACATTGCTGTCATTCGGTTAAATAACTTAGCAATATACAATATCGTTAAAATACTTTTTTATTATTACATTTATAAATGCCCTATTTGTGTTGGTATTCAACTGTAGGTTCAAATGTAGTAATGTAACTTTTTGACGTCAGCAAGATCATAAAACGTAATGAAATAATTTTTTGTGGGTACTATAATTTGTGGGGTGATTCCTTTGACGAAAATATAATTACATTTTTTTTTTACGATTTAAAACTCTTAAACCGTATTTAGTAGACCATTTAGGAAGATTTAGCGTAGCAATAATATTTTTATAACGACTCGCAATTTCTTTTTTCATATCTTAGTTGAGCTTGAACAGTCTCTAGTTTAAGTTATAAATGAATTACAGTCTATTAAATTTATTGATACGCGTATATATATAGTAAAAGTAAGAGAGAAAGAGGAATCATATATATAAACAAATAGAGGATGCAATAAAAATAAAACAATTATAAATAATAAACATAGGTAATGATGATTAAATATATAAGGATCAATATTAAATGACATGAAAAAAAAAAAGTAATTGATACATAATCCCTTCTATACAGTAGAATATCCATCAATTCTACTTATTTAACATTTGATATGAAATTACGAAATATGAAAAGCTTCAATTTATAATAATCTCAAAATAACATAAACTATCTAAAAGTTCTATGAGAAGGGATACCCTCGGTAAACATTCGCTACACATACTTTTTTTTAGAAGAAAAAATAAGAAGAAAAATCCAAGGTGTTCAGTTCATAAATAAACAAATTTTATAAGAGGGAACAGTGACGTAAACTAAGTGTGACAGAAGTAACTACTAGCGAAATACCGCTTGACGAATCCAGTTCGATGCTGATTTTGAAACATACGAAAAATAGAATATTTAAAAAAAAAATATATATATATACATATATAAATGTTCGTGTATTTGTTAATATGAATAACTATAACAATATAGGCAATAGTTTGATCGGAAGGTTATCTATTGCCATATAATTATATTTCTTAATTTCATATATTATGAATGTACTTGAAAAATATTTTATCATATTTGTGCAAATAATCAGAATCCTGAAAATCTTGTTGGCTTGCGGGTTGTATTCAGAGGAGAATTGCCCATAACTGCTTTGCAGGTCGATATATCGACATGCTAAGGGGTTAACGAACTAACTCCGATAATTTTACCTCCACCAGTTCTTCAGGCATTTTCCTTACCGGCTACTTGACCGAAAAAAAACGTGGAAAACAACAGATTTTATTTTTTAGCTCATAGTGAGTCAATGTTCTAGATTTCTACACTGTCATACTTTCGGAGATTCGCACATATCTAGAATATAACTTCTGTATTATAACACATAAAAAATAATTGCAGAAAATTTCTCAACAGATGTACCAATATTCAATATAAGAAGCCACTGACTGATCTGGAGGGGAAAGGGTGATATAGTGATTTCAAACTACCTCCAAAATATAAAAAATATATATTTTTTTTCAAAGCTTCTTAGTTTTTACTACCAGTGATCTGAGGTCTATATTAAGTGAAGTTCACAGTCAGTGGGCCGTTTTTATAGAAATAAAAACTTACAATAGTTAGTACTTTGTTTTCTTTGGGAATTTCTTTTCCCCAGCCGTTAGCCAAAATATTCATAACTATAAAAATTCGCATTTCAGAGTTTTAAAGAACAATAAAAACAAATCTAACATCCTTTTTCATAAAAAAAAAAATAAAAAAAATGACTTGCTATACTTTACTAGAAGTATAGCAAGTAAAAAAACCTTGCGATTTTTGTAATTTATGAAACATTAGAACTCATTTAATACCATTGTTAAATCATTTTTCACTTCTGCACAAAAAACAAAACAAAATAGATTAGTATTGATAACCTAAAAAGCCGGGCAAAGAAAAGGTAAAATTAAATAACATAAATTTTGTTTGAAATTAAATAAAATATTTTTTCTCAGCTCCTAGGGCTCATTGGAAGAACACAGGGCATGTGTCAAGTACGTTTCGATGTAGTATCTCAAGAAAATTGGTTGAAATCGGTGAGCCATTGATATTAATCTTCCTTTATAAGTGCAATTATGAAATGTGTAATCTTTTTAAATTATGACGCATACAAAAATACTAATTGTAAGCACGTGTCAAGAAAAAATATATAATATATATATATATATATATATATATATATATATATTAAAAAAAAGTAAGTTACCTACATATTCTTATATCAAAAGGATGGCATTTTCACTTATTACAATTTTATTCATTTAAGAGTCAGGAAGCACGTTGGGAAAGGCATTTGACTAGTGTCGATAAAAAAAAAAAAAATAAAAAAAAAAAAAAATCGAAAAATAAGAACTTCAAAATATTCATTTTTTATTTTTTATTTTTTATTGAATGGTAAATTTTAGGATGAGTTTACGGATATAGGCATATAAGTGATAAAATTTGTAATAGCGAGTATCTAGGGAAACGGAAGCGATCATGGTATGAAATCATGTTTTTCATCGTCGAATTAATTAAACCCTTCGTGTATCTGAGTCAGGTAGAAAGCTGGGAAAGGCATTTCATTAGTGTTGATAAAAAAAAAAAAAAAAAAAAAAAAACTTCGATACATTACTTTTTTTTAATTGAATGACACTATTACAAAAAAACAAAACAAAACATGCATGATAATTTATACGGTTAAAAGTAAGTACGGCGTAAAATCTCTACTATTACAAAAAATGAAATGTCTTCGGTTTTGTATTTGATTAGGTAATATTGTTTCGGTCGTGGTTTGCAGTTATGTAGAACAGTAACGGATCCAGGATTTAATTTTGGAGAGGGGCTCGGATTTAAAAAAAATGTATTTATTCATATTTTAATAACGGTACTTACTCATGCAGAATGAGATAGAAAATATATAAAATAATGTGGTACTTGAAGCTCTGTTAATTTAGGTCAGGTCACACACATGAACAAATATGAACCAATAAAAAAATATATATATTTTTCCTTTTTTGAGGAGAGGGCGAGTTCGGCCTGAAAGCTCCTCCTCCACGTGGATCTGGAACATGACCTGGATGACGCTCAACCCTTAGGTTTCCCTCTCAACCAATTGGAAGAAGCAGGTAAAAACTTTATGGAGACCAGGTGAGTCCCAGGAGATTCTACCTGTCCCAGAAGGGTTCAGTTTTCGTTATTACCACAAATTAAACGAAATACATGGTTCACAGCAAAAACGTGACAATTTAACGAATATAAGCATATAAGGGATGGCTTTTGTAATAGCGACTATCTAGGGAAAAGGGAAGCGATGGAAGGAAAGGAATGAAATTAATTTTTTCATAGTCGAATTAATTCGTGTTCGTTGCCGCTGTCCAAAAACCTGAGAATAAGAATTTACAAATCTACCATACTTTCCACTGTAGTTATTATATACGTGACGGCTTTATGGGAAGAACAGTGCCAGAATACAATACTGTTTATTTTCAAAGCATTGAATAAAATATTTTCCCTGAAAAGGTTGATAATGCAGACAGCTATCATTGCGTAAATTGCATTAGTTAAATATACATACTTATATAAAGAAATAACATTATGTTAAGTGCACCAGCTATAGTCACGTTAAGAGATGTTTTCAACATTAACGTCTTACCAAATCAATAACATAATAGATGAAGTCCGTCATTCAACAAATAACAAATTTAATGGTCAATGGGTTCCAGAACAGATCGACTGGTGTGTGAATGAACGAGCTGACATGATATCAAAACGGAGTCCGGGAAATGGAAAAAATGTTAGGTGGGTTAAAAAAGACTATATTAGAAATTGGCAGGACAGATAGGCCCGAGAGTCAGTCGAAAGGCAAAGATCACTCACTATAAGGCAAGGCTGGGCAAACTAACGTCTTTCTACGCTCACGGTTATCCAACATGTCAATGAGAGACTTAAAGATACTTTAACCGTAATAACTTGCAAAAGATGTTTTTCAGGTATTATGAATTAGCTGATTTAGAACATATCCACGAATTTAAGAACTTGCGACGAAATCCGCAGACAACACATGTATACGGGTGATGAAGTGCCTCAGCGAAAATCAATATCGAGGGTTAAAGCCCCCGAGAGAAAAAGTCCAGCGTGATAAAGGAATTATAGGTAGATGAGATAAACGAATTATAAAATAAAAGAGGAGAGTGAGAGGGAAATGAGTTAGACGGAGACAGCTGGTTATGTCATAGGCGTTCGAACGTCAGTTGCCCGCCTCCACCTCCCTTCAATTATTCAACTCGAAATAAAATAAGCTGGATCCAAAGGGTCCGACCGTTGGATCAGGAAAAACGCTCATAAAGACGAAATGGAAACCAACCGTCATTATTAAATTCTGAGTATATATCTCGCCAATTTATATTAAATCATTGAAAAAAAAGGAGGATGCTTCTAGATACTTTCGTTAAAAATAGAATGGTTTTTCCTTTCCTCGATGCCCTCAGGGACCCTTCCAATCGAAAGAAAATGGA